GGACGTGTTATCTTTGGGCCTAAACCTAAGGACTGGTCCATTAAAATCAATGGGAAGGAGAAGAGGCGCGATTTCGACTGCCACCTCAGGGTAGCTCAGTTCCCTTGTTATTTCGGTTTTGGGATTTGTATCTCATTTCCTGTATTCCTCTTTATTGATATTGTTGACAATTTTATTTTGTTTTTGCTATTTTTCTGATATTTTTTTTTTTTAAGGTTATGTGCGATCTATGGATATCGATTTATCATCATCATTAGAGCTTTTTCCCAATGATTTGAGGTTGGTTATAGAATCTTTGTTTGCTGCCTTATTTAGGGCCATACTTTCAATGAGGTCATAAATCCCTATATTTTTTCTTGCTAATTCCATACAATAGAGTATTTTTTAGCTTTATCCCTTGTATCTTTTTTTTTTTTTTCAATTTTGATATTTTTTTATCAAAATAGCCTTCATAATAGACTTATTACCATAATGATTATCGCATTATGATATTTTATGATAGGGTTTTCACTGTAATACGACTTCTGTTAAGGTTATTTTGGTAAAAAAATAATGTCAAATTTATTTTTTTAAAAAGATGTTGACGAAATTTATAAAAATTAATAATATTTTTTAAATTAAACATAAATTAAATTATATTTTTGATAATTTCTCTATTTTTTTTAGCCTTTAAATTGAACTAATTCACGTAGTGTTGTACTGAGTCCACACATAGTCAGGCCGCTTAAATATTAAAATTGAGGTGGTTGATTTTGTTGTCTTATTACCAGTGCACCAACGTATGGACATATTATTGATAGTATGCACTTTTATTTATGGCACAAGAATTCCAAAAAAAGAAAAAAACGAGGCCATAAAGAGATAGGACAGAAACATGGGACTTGTCAGCTTGTTTATGTGCATTATGTCGCCCGCTTTTGGTGGGTTTCCACAATAAGTTTTGGTGGCCATACATGTGCCAGTGTTGTCAATTCGTGTTTGGGTTCTATGCATGGCCTTGATTTCTTTTTGGTGGTCCTGCATGTGCTTGAGTTATCAATTCCTGTTTGGGTTCTATCATATGAATGACCTTGATTTCTCAATGACATCATTGCGCTAGTAAATATTCGAATGTTAATGTGCATCTCATATGCTAATTTCTTTACTGGAAGCTCCCTCGTTTGGCTTTTGGATTCAGACTTTTAGGAATCACTTTTTCGAAAAGAGTTGGGTCAATGGCGTTAGGTTCGCTTAAAATTGACATTTTCATTTAGGATAGAGATTTTTGTGAGACTTTTGGATGCTCATTTTAAGCTTAAAATTTGAAAATTATAAATTCCACCAAAATAAATAGAATTGATATTTTATGGAAATGATCCATTTTGCTCTTGATGAACAAAAAAATATCAAAACTTTAGAGACGGAAACTATATCAAATTTTAGAGAAAGAAAATATATTTAAAGTTTAGAGATGGAAACTATATCAAATTTTAGAGAGAGAAAGTATTCCAAATTTTTTAGAGAGAAAATATACGAATTTTTTTAGAGATTAAAATTTTAAAGAGAGAAATTATATCAAATTTAAATTTTAGAGTCACCATATTAAAATTTTAGTGAGAGAAACTATTTCAAATATTAAGTTTTAGAGAGAGAAACTATATCAAATCGTAAGTTTTAGAGAGAGAAAGTATATTAAATTTTTTTTTTAAAAAACTACATTAAATTTTAGAGAGGATCTACTTAAAATTTTTCAGAGAGAAATATCTCAAAACATTTAAAGAGAGAAATTATCTCAAATTTTAAGTTCTAGAGAGAGAGAATATTAAAATTTTAGATATTAGAAACTATATCAAATTTTAGATAGGGAAACTACTTGAAATTTTTTAGAGAGAGAAACTATCTCAAATTTAAAGTTTTAGAAAGAGAAAATATCTTAAAACTTTAGAGAGAAATTATATCAAATTTTAGATAGAAAAAGTACATAAAATTTTTAGAGATAGAAACTATTTAAAAAATTATAAATAGAGAAACCGTTTCAAATTTAAGTTTTAGAGACAGAGTATCTTAAAATTCGAGAGAATGAAGAGAGATAAAATATATTAAAATTTTAGAGAGAAAAAATACATGAAAATTTTAGGGAAAGAAACTTATCTCAAAAATTAAGTTTTAGAGAGAGAAAGAATCTTTAAATTTTAGAGAGAGTAACTATATCAAATTTTAAAATGAGAAAGTACCTAAAATTTCTTAGAGAGAGAAACTATCTTAAAAATTTTAGAAAGAAACTATCTCAAACTTTGAATTTTGGATAGAGAATGTACCTTAAAATTTTAGAGAGAGAAACCACCTGAAATTGTTTACAGAGAGAAACTATCTTAAAATTTTTATAGAGAAAAGCTATATCAAAATTTAAGTTTTAGAGAGAGAAAGTATCTCAAAATTTTAGAGAGAGAAACTATATCAAATTTTAGATAGAGAAAGTGTATAAATTTTTTAGAGAGATAAACTATTTCAAAATTTTTAGAGAGAGTGACTATCTAAAATTTTAAGTTTTTGAAAGAGATTATATTAAAAATATTAGAGAAATTTTAGAGAGAAACTACCTCAAAATTTTTAGAGAGAGAGAGAGGATTTGCATTTCCAAGAAAAAGATATTCTAGGCGATCCAAACAAAAAATTTGCATTTTCTTGATTTCTACCGGATGCAATCCAAAAAGCATACAGCGTATTCTAAGAAATGTCAATTCTAGCAAATCTCAATCCCAGGATTGACTTTTCCCAGGATTGAAAAATCCAAAGATCGAAATGGCCTCTAAAAGAAAATGTGTAGACTAATCTTCTTGATGATAAACTAATTACCATTAAGACGTTTCTTCAAATTTGAGGTGATTTATGACGGACTTTAAATTTTTTTTTAAAATACTAGAAATCTTTGTGATAGCCTTAAAATACTTTAAAAATAGTGTAGATCGATAGATTTATGAAAACTTGAAAATCTTGAAAATTGACGGTCCAAAAATATGTTACAAAATACACTATTTTCAAAACTTTCCATTTTTTTCTCATCTCTATGCATCTTGACTTCGAGATGATCAATTTGATGATATTTTGGCATCAAAACAACCTATTTTTTTGAGGCAAGCTCAAATTTGATTGTTTAGAGCCTTGGCTCTATATAAACTTTTCCCTTTAGAGAATACAATATGGAGGCGGATAGTTTAGCAAAGGCTGGTGTTTCCGTAAAAGAGTTAATTGTTGTTTGAGGGTGTTTTTCCTTTTTTTTGTTTCTTTTTTCTTTGTTCCATCTTTTGTAGTTGGCTATATTCCTGAGTTTTTCAGGTTTGACTTTGATGTAATAATTGTTTGAATGGAATGAAATGTTATTGATCTTCAAAAAAAAAAAAAATCTAATATAACCATAACACCATGGACATATTAGATCTGATGTAGCACTCTTTCAATCTATTGGTTCTTTAGGCTTGCCTCTTAAAACGGGGTGACAATCCTAAATCCATACCAGCACACATGGGGATCTAAAAGGACGTAACAAAGCACAATGATCTGTTAGATCTGTGGTGCTTCGTAGGGCAACAAGTGCGATAGGTCCATGGCACTAAAAAGTGCCACAGATCTAATACATAGCTCTTTTGGCATTGCAGATAAGCTAGATTAACACTACAGATGTAATAAATCCGTAACAAGGGCAAGTACATCATTAAACAAAAAAAAAAAAGAAAAAAAAAAATGAGTATGATTATGTGAATAACTGGAGAGAGGTAATTTGTTAGTATCCAAAAAATTAAAGGGATCCGAAATCAAGAAATGACTTCATATAAATCACAATTTAAGAAAAAAATATTGGATTGATCTGAATTCATTATATAACCTTAGAACTTGAAACATTTGGAGAAAACAAAAAATAAAAAATTTGAATGCTGCCATAATATATAACAGTTTGGGAGAATTTTTTATACAATGGAAAATTATGGGATGAATAGAAAGTTCTCTTTTTTAATCATGTAGATTCAAAAGTTATATTCTTCACATTTGACTTTGTATATGAAGACCTAACTTCAAATATTCAAGATTCCAAGTAAAAAACGACTTCAAGTTGTACAGTTTTTTATTCTTGATAGTAAATAGTGAATAGTGCGTTTGCATGGCATGGGAAAATAAAATCCAACAAATACTTCCCATGAGTTGAGGTGCGGCTTGGTTTTCATAAAAAGTGGAGTATTTTATGGTAAAATACTTTACCATGAGTTTTATTTTCATATGCTTTCTTTCCTTATCAAACCAAAATAATATTTCTTGGAAAATATTTTCAGACCAACCAAACATGTCCTTAATGATCTTTGCACTGAAATTTACGAATGAGAACCCAATTGAGAAGACGATCACAGCAGGTTAAAGAGCAACCTCATAGGAGAGAACTTACCAATTACCTATCAAGGAAAAGAGAGACTCATTGCATGATACCCTACTACCTCTTTACATCCGAAGAAAATTTCAGGGAGTGGACTAAAAAACTCCTTTATGTAAGCATCACTCTTTCGCCACATTATCCATAAATAAGATACCAGTACGTTTATAAGACAGCAAAATTTTTTGACATTCTCAAACCAAACGAATGGAACAATTTCTGCGATCTCTAATCCCCAGTGCCTGATATTAGAGCCCAAAAATAGGAGTCAAATTCAATTTCAAAAACACCTCATTTTCGTGTTACCAGGAGTTCAAGCCACCCCGTAGCATCAAGCAGCGAACAACAATCTAGATATGCAAAGCATAAATAACAACCAGCAAAGATGAATTAAGGGATCGGATAATACCACGCCCATGTATTATACTTCCTGTATATTATATGTAATCACAAAGGTAGTACCCTGTTTATATATTACATGTAATCTCCACCACCCACCTCGATGATGAACAGTGGAGATGAACAGTTTCTCCATTTGTGCAATGGCTGAGGTAATGGTCCATTTCTCCTGTCAATTAATGATGGGAGGTAGAACCTGCAGCAAACATGTCGCGAGGTAGATGCCAACCAAAGAAGAAAGGATAACAAGAGTTGGATATATAATTGATGTGAGGGGACCTCGAGGAAAACCATGTGAAAGCCAATCAACATGCATCAACTATTATTGATAACCTTGGCTAACTTGCAATGGAAGTAACTTCAACCTCAGTTAGAATTTTGTTCCGAACTAATGGACAGGGAGATTATCTACAGTCACAAAATCTCGATTATGCGCCTCACTTGTTACGCTTAGATCTTTAATGCGTGAGAATCATCATGGTCTGAGACTCGATGTGTGTAGAATGTTGATACACATAATAGCATCCATGCAAATGTGATCTCTGTTTATGTCAATACTTCCTAACAGGATTCACAATCTTTGTGAATGTGAAGGAACTATGCATATAATTTGGACACGATTGACTGTCCTCCCTCCTTTCCCATAATTCATCGTCACCCCCAAGACTCTCCTTACCACCACATACAACAACAGATACGCCAAAGCCATCTTACAAAATCACACTAATCATAGAGCCATAGACAAAAAACCCATCTTATAGCATCACACTAATCAAGTCCGTGAAAAAGTTGAGATTCCAGTGCAATTCGTTGTCATGCATCTCCACAATCGATGCCATCAAACTAACTTCAACACCAACCGTTCCTCAAAAGCCTAAAGCACAAATGACTACGCAAAAGTCAAGGTATTTTTCCACTCTAGGTTCCTCAATTCATAGTACCATATTCTTCATGAAAACTTAAAAATCTGCTTCACACTTTAAAGACATTTAAGAGTCAAGTCAAAGATATATGAATGCTATGAAATAATGGTAATCCCTACAACCTACGGTTCAAACATCTCTTATGCAAAATCGTACTAGAAAAATAAGAAGCATGACGGTTACAAAAAACCGATGAACTGATTTGAAATTAAAGGATGCTAACAACAGTAGTTTCAATGGCTGCTGAATTCACAAGAATTCAAAGATACAGTAAGCATTAGTTCAAATCTGAACCAATACATAGAAGTATCTGGACCTCGTAATCCTAGTTCTAACGGAACTAGAAGTACTAATTAGAACGAAATTTTCCATGACTTGGTAAAAAGTAATTTCATAAGCACTCTAACTACTTTTCCTAAACAACTCTTAAAATCCTAAAATATATATTAAAAAAAATAGAATCCTTAAAAAAGCTTTCAATTTCTAAAAAATATGTCCGGAAAACTCCTAAAATACATCCCTAAGGTGAAGGTTACAAAAACCAATGAACTGATTTGAAATTGAAGGAAGCTAACAACACTAGCTTCAATGACTGCTTAATTCACAAGAACTCAAAGAAACAGTGCTTCTATTGAATTCACAAGAATTCAAAGAAACAGTGCTTCTAAGCAATAGTTCAAATATGAATCAATACATAGACTTTATTTGGACCTCTAAATCCTAGTTCTAACGTTTGGTCTAAGAAAGATGATGACCTTAAACTTTCTCTTAACCCATCCCATGCCCAGGTAAAAGGGAATGGTTGTGTTAGATAGACAGCCAACGTAAAATTTTGCCAACACTCATCACGAATCCTGATAAACTTATAAAACACAATGGAGAACTAGGTTTCATGTAGCCGACTCCAATTAATTGGAAAAAAGGCTAAATTGATGATGATGATAATGATGAATCCTAGTTCTAACGTAACTAGAAGTACTAATTAGAACAAAATTTGCTATGATATTTTTAACATTGATAAAATAAGTAATTTCATAAGCGCTCTGAACTACTTTTTCTAAAAAACTCCTAAAATCCTAATATATATATATATATATATATATAACAAGAATCCCTAAAAAAGCTTTAAACTTCTCTAAAATAAGTCCAAAAAATTCCTAAAATACATCCCTAAGGTTTAATAAGAAAAATTCAAAATTAAGAGACATCTTGTCTTGCATCGGACTTTCGGAAAAAAATTCTTCAATAAATCCACAATCTTTACTTTATCTTGGTTGACATTCACAAATTCAGAGACATATATCAAAGTGTACTCACACCAGTAAGCAGCTCTGAAGAAAGTGAAAACAACAAAAGCAAAAATTATTGCATGAAAGCAAAAAACTAGAGAAAGGAAAAGAAGTGAAAAGAAACCGCCTTTAGATATGCTTTCCTGGGCCAACGCATCAGCTGCCTCATTTGAATCCTCAAGTACACACAAATATAATACGATATCTTCAAAAACTCACAACCTGTACACATCCTCTAATCACCAAGGCTCCAGTAGCGTAGGCTCGCCACCAAGTAATAATCTCTGATTACCCCCCCGAACACAAACATCCCCACATAAAAATGGAGAGAAAACTTTAACCTTGTGAAAAGAGCCCTCACCTCCCCTTATTTTGCAGCACAATGACATAGTAGGCTGGCATAGATTGAAAGCTTCATTGTGGGTGAGTCCTTTTAAGAGACCTTGGTCACATCTGGTCCTTTCACTACCTAATACTAGAACTTGCTCAGAATTAATGCCAACACAAGCTATTGAAGATCCACATACACTATACCTAGGAACTCATAGAGAGTTATTGCCCACAAGGTACTGTCCATGTAAAATATTGTCTGCTTGTATTCATCTTGAACAAAGACCGAAAATTCCTTTAGTTCCTCACTCTAAATAGTCCCCAAAAGAGGCAAAGGGTTGCACACTCCGTGCTTACTTCGTAAAGTTCCAAAAAGAATCTTTTTCCTAAAATTTAACAAAGTTGCTCACTAAAATAAAGATTACCAAGAAAACCCTTCTGAATTTTTTATGTTTCTTAAGAAGTACACCTAAACTCAAAAATTTCTCTGCACAAATTTCTCAAATCCTAACTTGAAAGATGTCCTAGAACTTTCAACTTAAAATCGTTTGGATATTTTCCCACAATGTGTCAGTTGCTACCGTTTATTGTAATGCACAAACTTCTATGCATGTCCTCACATTTTGCACTTCGTCACAGACCTACGATCAAATAGCAGATGTACTAGTAAAGCTGAGAACTCTAAACACAAGTGGGAAGGAGCACAAACCAATCATAATATAAGGCTATCCGACCCATAGCATTTCTTCTTTTTTTTGCTTGGCGAATGCTTATCTGAGAATGTTTTATTTTCCCTGATTGGAAGAGAATATTAGCATATTTGTTGAACATTTAATCCTCCAAAGCCTCCCTTTCAACAAAAGAAAACTCACTTCTAAACCTCTGTAGTGAAGATCCGAGTTTTGCGGTAGTGTACCCTTGTGTTGAGACTTTTTGATCTTAATAAGCAATCCTCCTTCCTTAGGAATCCTATCTTTAAGCAGCTAAAAGTAATACATTCAATGGCATCATTATCCATGGCCCATGGAAAGTTCATTTGCAACAGAGAAGTTTGAACCAACCCGAGACCTCTCCCACCACAATGGAGTCTCAAATAATTAAAAGTAATTCATTCAGTGCCATTAATGTCCTTCGTAATGCTTGCTGAACCCCATTAAAGATTAGATGTCTCTCAGATGGTCTCTGATACGACAACCTCCACTGATTGAGTCATCCATGTCGAAATTAACTGATGTATTTTTCATACACTTGAGCTGCTTTGAAAACTAATTCTTAATATTTTCAGTAAACAACCAGGTCAGCTTTGATGTAGAGTCCACGTTATTATAAGGTCTAAGTCTATTAATTTCTTTGGCTGCTAAAAAAAAAATTTAATCAACAAAAAGTTTGCATGTTCAAAAGTAATTTTACTAACCGAGATTAATGCTCAATACTTTTGTGATGAGTGTCATTTACGCTTAGGCTAGAGGATCCATGATAAAATCATGCAACAAAAGGAAAGATAGGTGGGGAACGGAGCTTAAAAACAAGGAACTGGACAGGTCCCAGACTGAGTGACTCAAGTGAGTACCGAGTCAGCTTAGTGAGTCCATCTTTTTTAAAAAAAACATATGTTTTTTGAAGAATATTTGCTGAATGTTTTGCAGACTCGGGTCAAACAACATCAACACCCAGATCAAATAACAAATCATCTAAGCTGAGTCATCCAGAATCGATGGCATGTCAGTTCCAAGTGACTTGGGAGAGTCCAACTTAAAATTGCAGAGGTCTCATACACATGGAGGCAATGACAGTACTAATTATTAGAAAGAGTGGTGAGTGAGAGAGAGAGAGAGGATTTGGTGAGGTTTACTTCAACCTCATGGACAGAGGCCATGAGCAGCCTCAGCCGTGGTGAACCTCACACCTGAGTCTACTCTGTATTACATGGCAGGCAATCTCCACTACCATCATGGCATGGGCGTCAGATCCAATAGGTCAACCTCTTCTCTTGAAGTTGCTTAAAGACTTTTAGAGAATTAAGACTATGACGTTCCTTCCATGCATGTGATTTTCAGGATATGCATTGCTTTTAGTTTCATAAAGAGAAAGCTTCAAAGCCTCTTACAATTTGTACTTGCCTCTTGGATTCCTAGTACTCAAAACTCTTTTTAGAAATGATGTTGGTCAAGGTTTGTTCTTTCCAAACAGAATTCCCTTAAGATCCTCTAAAGAGTTATGGATGGGAAAGTTTGCTTAGGTCGATCCACAGACTTATGAGAAACACGCTGGTAAAAGATCAATCTTTTGAGATATTAAATGTATACGAAACTCGAACAATCACACAGGAAGAAGACACTTCAAGATCTCCAGGATCAACGAGAGCTCCGGAGAATAGTTGGTCTCGTTCTGTTTTAGATCACTAAGTCAAATTGTTTGCGTCACCTTCAACTTCTAAAAGACTGGAGCACTCATATTGTCTATGAGAAGCGAATCGATGCATATGCAAAAGGTACTAAATTTAGTGGTTGATATGAAGAACATGTGGCCAGAAGTTCTACATTCTTTCTTGTCTTCAATATGCCTTCCGGTCCTTTAGTTGTCCTCTTATTTGTATATAATTTCTCAAACTTGTTTAAAATTAATAAAAATGGGCAGAGGCCCCTTCCCTCACTTGCTTACACAACAAAGAAAAACTATAGAATCCATGTTTCATAAATTCTATTCCTTAGTACTTTTGAAAATATGAAGTAACTGCATGAACCAAAAGAGGCTTGGTTATAGTAGCTTCTTTCATAAAAACATCAACAATTCCACAAAAAAACATCAACATTTCCACAAAAGAAGTTCTAAAAACAGAAAAACATCGTAACTAGGAAAAGAACAAGAAAGAGAAAAGGAAGAGAATTTGACAACAATAAAACTGTCCAAGCTGAGAATTTAAAACAACTAGAATTACAATTCACTACTTACAATTCCATCGAATTCAATTCCTCCCAAGTGGAAGAGATCTGCACATATAGGTCTCCTTGAAGTCTGATTTCTTTGATGATGTGAATATAGAAGCGTACACTTCTGTCGTAGTGTGACGTGGTGGAATAACACCTGCCTTGGACCTTTTCACTAAATCCTTCGGTTCCTTCTTAGGATCACTAATTGAAATCTTCTCATTACCATCACGTTTTCTCTTAGAAAGAGTAAGAGAAGAAACAGGATTATACGAACCCACTAATCCTTTAATCGATTTAACGGAATCGACATTTCCTTGTTCTTGTGATTGCAAACCAGAATCAACCACCCGAAAAACACAATCCCCATTTTGTCTCTTCTTTTCCTTCTTCTCTCTACCTTTTGCCCTCCCTGCCTCTAATTTCTCTCTCAGATTTGCAACTTCATCCTCACTCCCGTTAATCACAATCTTCTCGGATTCAGAAAACTCAGAATGACAAACAAGGCAAGCATCTGATTGAACCTCTTTCAACGCCTTTGCACTCAGAACATGGCCACAAGAACGCAACGCAAAAAACTTATACTTGCCATTAAACTCCAAGCCAGTAATGGGGCACTGAAATTTTGTACCAAAACTAATGTCATCCATTTCAATTCCAGGAATTGAAGAGAGATGAATAGTGATCATATCTTTTAAACCCTTAATATGACCAAATTGTTTAGGAATCTTCTTCCCTAACAAAGCTTCAACAAGAGTCTCTTTATTAAATATGTTCCCAAGTTTATCAATAACACACGGAGGTTTCAGAGGCTCATAAGATAGAGCACAGGTGGACCACTTCGAAAGGCGAGTTTCATTGGGGTCAACCTTGTCTGGTTTCTTGGAGGCATACATGTTGAGATAACAGTCTCTTGATTCCGCGCCTGTAGCTCCTCCATCGCCACCTCCACCCAAAACTCTAGCCCTAGAAATTAAAGTTGAGAAAGGAGAAACCCCACAGTCTGATAATTTACATGAATCAGAAAGGGGTTTCCCATTGAGAGCGAAGAAGAACGAATCTAGGGTTTTGGTACCAACGGAAAAAGAAGAAAAGAGAGAGGATTTGAGGTTGCCAAGGGTTTGATTAGGGCTTACCGTTAGAGAATAAATGGGGACTTGCAGTTCAGGAGCGTGGATAAAAATTTGGAAATTCTGAGTCGCCATGTTTAGGGCTTTTCTTGGTGGGAGGGGACCTGATTTGAGGGGATGGTACTCAGGCAGGAAGAACGCTCTCTCTCTCTGCAAACTCTGGCTTTTCTTGGTGGGAGGGGACCTGATTTGAGGGGAGGGGACACAGGCAGGAAGCACGCTCTTTCTCTCTCTGCAAACTCTTTCGTTCTGACTGTTGTTCCGATTATCTGTTTATATAGAGCTTTGGATTTCCTAATCTTAGTTGTACAACAAACTCATCCTCATTATAACCGCAGTTAATATTTATTCGACTCGTAATCCAAAAAATAATTAAAAAAAAATTAAAAAAATTAAATTTATCTTCATCTATATATGAATGGAAACCATATCTATTACTATTAGGACTCGGTAAGAAAATTTCCAAATCACTATTAAAATTTAAACGAAATGATTTTAAATAACAAAAGTCTCTAATGAATAATTAAAATTAAAAACCACTGTGCATTGTAAATTATTCTTAAAATAACTTTTGAAATTTTCAAAAATGGAATTCATGATATAAATATTTAAATGCCATATAAAATAAAAATTAAATATCTTTTTGTTAGTTTGTATTTGCATAAAGCTTTATTTCAATCGATAAGTTTTATTTCCTTATTTTTACATTATTTATTTTAAAATTGGAAGTTAAAAATTCAAAAAGAGAGTATCATATTTTTTTTTTATTTTGTAATAAAAGAGAATCTTATCCTTGAGGAGGAAAATATTTATTAGGGTCCCATAGAAAGCGACTCTTACTAAACTCTTTGTTGAGACTTGAGACTTGAGCATGAAGAAAGATTTTTGAGGATCAATGTTTATCGTTTGGATCAATATATTATCTAAATAAAAGACCATCTTAAAATAAAAAGCAATTATTGATATAAGAAAGACGGGATAAAAACGATGATCGGGACGAGAGAATTGCTACTCTAAATTCTTTTGATAAATGTATGTTTTTTATTCTTGTTTTTAGATGTAAGAGGCACACAAGATCTTAGGTAGTTGCGGAAAGTTTATGGCATAAAAACGAGAAAAAATCCCACATCTTACATCAAACGATGTGCTGAAGCTCAATACGTCATGACAATGGTAATATCTCTTTCTAAATTTCACATAAACAAGTTTTTGGTTTAGATTTATGCTTTAGTGTGAGGTTTCATAGTTTATTTCACGGTTCGGCATAGTGTCATGGTCTAGTTATATTTAGTTTTTTCATGGTTGATCTTCATTTGGTTTTTTCATGGTTCTTGGTTTGTATTCATTGTTCCTCTTGTTTTGGTTTGAGTGTCATGGTTTATTTCATACTTTTTGGTATATTTTGAGGTTGTTGGTTTGGTTTTATATCTCTGCTGGATTTCACATGAAACAATACTAGTTAACTGCAGTTATTTCCATGACTCTATGTTTAGCTTTTTTTTTTTTTTATATTTATCCAAAAAAAGAAATTTTTTTTCAATTAAAAAAATAAAGGTTCCATAGTACAATATAAACCCAAGGTCACAAATTCGTCACCTCTCTGTCTCTCCTGGTGAATCCTATCTGTTTTTGTGTGTTTTGGATAAATCCTCTCTTTCTCCTCGTGCGTAAGTTTTTTCGCTAGGAACCGAGCTCGTAGGTTTGCCTTGAGAAATAGCATTATTTACGTTCGGGATGTATAGGTTATATCCACCATCCCTTCTAATCAATGAAGGTGCAGATGAGTTGACGTGCATCAATCTTTCTGATTGTCATGCATACTTGTTTTTAAACTCTGCCTTAGGCCTCGAACTTAACCTTGGTGTGAGCATGAGTAACCCGGCCTCGCGAAATCTACAAGGATAAAAACAAATTTTTTTAAAAAGAAAAAGATTAGAAATAAAATAAAAGTTTTAGAAGTAAAATAAAACCAAAAAAGATAATCCAAAATTAAATAATAATAAAAAATATAAAATTACATATTTAGAAAAAAAAAGTTAACTGATGGAGACATTACAAAAAATCCAAAAAAGAAAAGAAAATATAAACAATCAAAATAAGGTGCACCTCCAAATTTTAACGTCAAATATATTTTGGTGTCAAAAATCTTTGGATGGCCTAATAATCCATTTTCATCTATTTAAACCTCAAAAATAGTTCAAATGAAGTAGATCTATAAACACATGAAAATCTTGAAAATGGACAATCTACATAATTTGTTGTGAGATGCACAATTTCTAGGTCTCATAATCTTTTTTGTTTCATATTTATATACCTCGATGACATGAAGATCAATTCGAGAATTTTCCAACATCAAAACAAGCTTTTTCAATGAAAATTTTATGGTGCATATCAATTCTATATTTAAGGTTGTGACTTGGTATAAACTTTTTCCTTAAGAAAAACATCCAAATTGAATATAATCGTTTTACATTTATCCCTACAAATTATACATTTATCTATTTATTTTTTTAAATATGCCCGAGTTGTATCCAAGTGCTCAAGAGCCAAGTAACTCGGTTACATGCTGAAATGCATATACATGCTTGACTCTGGCAAGTTAAACAACAGTAACGAGTCCCGACTTTGCCCCATGAATGGAGAAAATAAAGTCCTCGGCACTATGAGGATTCAACAGTCTTGAGGATTGAAGTTCGACCATAGTCCTTATGACTTAGGAAATTCATGGTCAATGGTATACATCAGAACCTTCATAGTAGAGACAGGATGTGATCCACCATAAGGGTTGTCTTATTGATGGGTCACTCTCTCTTACCCGTCCGATAATTGAATGCAGGTGATCCAATAACCAATTATAACTAGATTTTTTTTTTTGGTGAATTACTTTTATAACAATATAGAGTTCTTTTTCGGTGAATTACTTTTATAATAATATGAGTACAAGATTGTTGAATTAAAATGAAGATGGAATTATCGGTGAATTACCTTTACAACGGTATGAATACAAGATTGTTGAATTAAAATGAAGATGGAATTACACTATTGTTGTCCTACAATGAAATTGCAAGTTGGCCTTTAAGGCATTTGTAGTTTTTACCTTTGAGTAATGGACATTGGACTAATAAGTTTACTGGTTGAACTCATCTAACAAAACTTCATATTTATCTTTATGAATTGTATGTGTTTATTCTAAATATATTTTTTAAATATTGCTTCAAAGCTAAAAGAAATATATATTTGTGTGTTTGTTGTGTAGTGGAAGATTTTTAGTTCCAAGATAAATGATGAGGGTGAGCTATATATATGAGGAAAGCAATAAAAATGGGTCATCCAGAATCTGCCTATGCATTGGGCTTCATCCTCATGAGTGAGGGCAAATTTTTGGAAGGTACACAATTCATGAGAAAGATTGAGCACTTCATTTCATCTTGTCGAAGTAGCACCAAGTCCATTCTTAAAATGATATGGGTCAACAATAAGCTGTCGTTGAAACCAGGAAAAGGCAATAATAAGAAAGTGCAAAAATCCAAGACTCATGGGAAGGGATCAAGTAGTGGACTATAATGAATTCTTGAATATTTATCTTCAACTTTTGGTAGGAATATGGGATCAAGAAGTGCAAAAATCCGAGACTCTCATTCCAACCTACGGTTGATATTTATCTTGAATTCTTAAATCCCTTAAAATTAGGGATTTAAGATAAATATCAACAAATTTCTAGCTTAGTTTGAATTCCAAAAGATATTCTCATCGTCCACACGCGCTTCCATAGGCCCTCACGTGGGCAACACATTAGTTAAATCTAAACACAGCTTGAACTTCTATAATAGAATCGGCTTTGTCAACATATATGCAACATTCTTCTTAATGTCAATCTTCAGTAACAAGATATCACTTTCAACTATGATCTCACGAAAAAAATGGTATCTGACATCAATATGTTTCGTTCTTGCATGATACAACCAGTTCTTCACCAAATGTATTTCACTCTATCTATCACAATAAATAACAGTCACATCCTGTCGTAAGCCCAAATCGCTTACAAGCCCTCTAAGTTAAATGACTTTTATCACTGCCTCGGTAACAACCATGTATTCTGCTTCAATCGTAGACAAGGCAACTACAATGTGTATCATCGACCTCCAACTGATTGGAGCTCCTGCAAGTGTAAACACATAACTTGTAGTTGATCTCCTACAATCTATATCACCTACAAAGTCAACATCAACATAACCAACAACCTTGACACCAAGCTTGCTATCTCTATCAAACATCAGACCCACATCTGATGTACCCCTTAGGTAACAAAGAATCCATTTTACCACATGGTTCTTGGATTAGCTATGTACTTGCTAACAATACTAACGGCATGAGAAATATCTGATCGAGTGCAAACCATTGCATACATGAGACTTCCAACTACACTCGCATAGGGAACACATGACATGTACACGTGACATTATTTTTTTTCAGCATATGAACTTGGAGATAATGTTGTCGACAATGTGAAATGTGCAGCAAGAGGAGTACCGGTGGGCGTTAAATTTTTGATCCCGAATCTAGTGAGGACTTTATTAATGTACTCATTCGGAGATAGCCACAATTTACCCAACTTTCAATTTCTACGTATCTACATGCCTAAAATTTTATTTGATGAACCTAAAATATCTCATTTCAAATTCTGTCGCAATTCAATTTACTAATTTTTAAAGAATTATTTGCAGCAAAAAGCATATCATCTACATAAAGCAATAAATAGACGAACAAACTATCAATACATTTCTTAAATACTTACTTCTCACATACGTGTGTCTAATCATGAATATATCAAAACGTTTGTACTACTGCTTAATATGGAGATTTGTTGATATTTATCTTGAATTTTTTAATCCCTAATTTTTAGGGATTGATTTCGTTTACTATTTATTTGGATAGAGCCTATTATTTATGAAATTTTAAGGGATTGATTTCCTTTAATTTAGGTTTACTATTTATTTGGATAGAGCTTATTATTTATGATCTATGTTTGTGGATAAGTCATACTTTGGGGTTTACCTTTTCTATATAATGGGTTATTTAAAGAGAAAAAGATCAAGAAAAATAGAGGGAAATTTTTGAGGTCTGCCTTGTAATTTTCTTTCTTCGATTTAGCAAAAAACATCAATAGTATTCGCTTGTGGATGTAGTCACATATGTGATCCTGTGGATGTAGTCACGTATGTGACAAATCACGTTAATCATGATA